GCTTAAGATAATAAATGAAGCCTTTTTCTTTCAAGTTCAGGGCACACATGATGTAACAATACTGTATATCGGCTAAGGTGATCCTAACGTTTTCTTGTCTAGCTAAGGCAATAATACCAAAAATCACTCGATAAAAGTTGATTACCAGCTGCATGGGGTTCAACTTATAATAATGAAGGATCTCGCGAAAAAGGATGTTGAGTGGGAGCCGGAGTCCACACTCAGTAAAAGCTACAATGGGAAGGGGCATGGCGTTTTCTGTAGGAATGATGGAGTCATTATCCCCAGCCAGTCTCAGATGGACATCGGCAGGGATGGAGAACTCCTGCCTAAAGTACTCAAGTTTGGTCGGGGTATCTACCCTATGTCTCTACATGCCCATGATATCAGCCTGAATTAGAAGGGTTGAAATTCAGAAAGAAGATGTTTCTTGTTGAAGGGACCTCGGCAAAGACCTAGGTTTAGGCTGGTACAGAAATTTGTAGGGAATATTTCAGTTTTGCCCTAAGTCGTGGGTTCTACAAACAAATCCCAAACCTAAAGCTATGAAGATGAAGATTAAAGGCACAGATCTGGAAAAAGACATAAAAAAACAGAAAACAAATACGAAGTTTCAAAGTCAAGAACAGAGATGGACTATCAAGAACATGAAAAATACAAAGGGTTGAAGACCAAGAACAGTGGTAAGGCGTGCAAGAAGAACTATGAACAGTACAAGTGTTTAGGGCATAAACATAAAGCAAAGTCGACACATTCAGGTGTATGAATCACAAAAATTAAAAGTTTCGACAGATGCAGTAAAAGCCACAAGCAATGAAGAATCTTAACAGAATTAACAAAGAAAAGGAATGGAAGCTTACCAGAAAAAGGGAGACCGGAAAGGGATTTGCCAATGTCCTACGACGGTTACAGGAGCAGAAGACTGGTGGAAATCTCGCTGGAAGGGGTGAACGGAGAAAGTTGCAGAGCTTGGGAAGCTTGAGCGATGGCGGATTTGAAAGAAAGAGTTTTAGAGAGAGAAAAAACAAGAGAACTCAGATGCAAAAGTGAAGAGTCGAAAGAAAGGGAGAAAGATTTTGTCAAAAAATGAAAACGGCGGCAAAAAAGTAATCAATACGCCTAAAAGAGCGCATATGTCAGACGGCGCATGTGAGAAGGAGATGACTTATGGGCGCGTCACAGACACGAGCCAGTAAGAAAGAAACGCGTGAGTAAAACGGTTTTTAGAGAGAGAAAAAACAAGAGAACTTAGATGCAAAAGTGAAGAGTCGAAAGAAAGAAAAGGGGAAAGATTTTGTCAAAAAATGAAAACGGCGGCAAAAAAGTAATCAATACGCCTAAAAGAGCGCATATGTCAGACGGCGCATGTGAGAAGGAGATGACTTATGGGCGCGTCACAGACACGAGCCAGTAAGAAAGAAACGCGTGAGTAAAACGGTTGAGTTGAAGTGCATGACAGCTCATGCGCGTGAGAAAATCCTTAAAAATCTTGATTTTTTAGGGAAAGCATGTCGGCCAGAAATGGATAATCTCGGCTATCAAACTTTAAGCCGATTTACTGGAAGAAAATACAGATATAGGTTCTATCACCTCAGAATGCCAAGGTAATAGTGTGAGAACCCGAATATAAAAATTAAGTAAATAATTAACCAACACGTGGCAAGGTGACGCCGACGTGTCAGTCGAGGTGCCACGTGTCCAGGTTGTGACGCCAAGGTTATCTCGGCAAGGCCGAGGTTATCTCCGAAGATATCAGAATCCGAGATAAATGGATAAAAGATAAGGGACAGGAGTCTTAGAGTAAAGAGGAGACTTAACTAAGATAAGGATAAAGCTCTTAGGGAGTTTATCTTTATCTCTTGAGAAATCCAAAGTAAGCACTGAATGGGAGTCCATAGAAGTCAGGCTTCTAGTGGGATCAGGATTGAGTTGGCTATAAAAGAGAGGCACCCCCCACCACTAGTATAAAATAAAATAAACACAAACCCTAACTCTTGTTATAATTGTTTTCCACAACACTAGCAGCCCTAGCAGCCGTGGTTTTATGAAGAAAAGAGAGGGGTTTTTCAATCATCAAGATTATTGTTGTAGCCAAGAAGGAGAGCTTTGGGTATGTTGTGCTGTGTGGCTTCCTAGGTTTTCTTCTCTTCTTTCTTTGTTCTTTATCCTAATAATATTGTTATTTAGATCATTGATGGAGAAGTTGTAGGTTTATGTATTTTGTATATATATATATATATGTTGTTAAGAAATTTGAGGAGTTAAATTCATGTATAAAGAATGGTGTAATTCTTAGTCCAAAAATTCTGCACATAATCGCTAACTTTAAAAATTAAGAAACCATATCAAACGGATGAATTTTGAACTGAAATTTTTACAGTAGATCAACTACATATTGAATTGTATATCTGAATTTTTTCATAATTTTTGGGAGTCAAAATCCATATAAATTGAGGTATTCAAATCTGTCCGGGAAACCAGTCCGAAATAGTAAATTCGGGAGTGTTGTTCTCTTTGGGTATAAATCCAAAAATTATCAAATTAGTGTCATTAGAACCGGTTACGAGTCTAGTTTCGTACATTTTTGGCCTTGCATTGATTGCTCGTGTATATTAAGAGAACCGTCAATTTCTTTAAAGTGCTGCAGAAAACAACCTGTTTGGATATAATAAATTGTAGATAATTATTTTGATAAGCAAATCAAGTGAAACCATTTGGGTTTGAAAATTAGGATACATTAGATCATATCTGGAGGTTATTGGAATTTTTTTGAATAGCGTGGAGTGGGTTTTTTGTAATTTTCAAAGTTAGCGAATAGGTTGGGAAGACTTGTTTGAAATTCTGTTTTATCTTAAAGTCACAATTAATTAAGTTTTGACCGGAACCCATGTCTTGGGTGATTTTAAATGTTGAAGAACATGAACTTAGCTAATATTTAAGAGTAACGGTGAGTTGGGTTGAGCCGTGTTAGTGCGCTTTAGTTGAGGTTACTTAGTTCCTATTTTGTAGTATTTTAAATTAGTTGTGACGTGTAGTTTTTTTTTTATATA